TCCCGGAGTCTTTATCAGTCACACTGATGAGAGAAATTACCGTTCCAGGTTTAGAATCTTCAGGGATGTTCTTAGAAAGTGACGTAATCTCAATCTCTGGCCGGTTGTCATTCACATCAATAATTTTAATAACAACTCTACAGTTTGCAGACATGGGAGGATGCCCCTTATCTGATGCCTGAATATCGAGTTTATAAACTTCTGTATCTTCAAAATCCACTTCCCCATTTACACGTATTTCACCTGTGACCTGATCGAGCTCAAACACATCATGCACTTTGCTGTTTAACGTCGCAAAACTGTATTCGATTTCACTGTTTTGGCCCTCATCCACATCAGTAGCATTTACTCGAAGAACCACGGTGCCAATATCAGCTGTCTCTTGCAATGTTGCAGAATATGTCTCTCGACTAAATACAGGGCGATTATCATTTGTATCTAGAATAATAATTGTAATGTTAACAGACCCAGATTTCGGAGGATTCCCTCCATCAACTGCTGTTAGAAGCAGCTTGTATGTCGTTGTAATCTCTCTATCAACAGCCTTCTTTAGAACTAAAAATGGCATTTTATCCTCATCACTTTCTCTAACTCTAATTTCAAAATGATCATTAGGACTTAACTTATAGGAACGGACCGAATTAGTCCCAGAATCGCGATCTCTAGCAGCTTGTAACTGATAATCAGCACCAGGCAGCGTATTTTCAGAAATTCTGAGGCGCTGCTCTTTATCAGGAAAACTAGGAGAGTGGTCGTTTACATCTAATATTTCTACCTCCACATAATGTATCTCGAGAGGATTTTCAATGACGGTTTTTAAATTCACCATACAAACACCGCTGCCAACACACAAAGACTCTCTGTCGATTTTCTTACAAACATACAAAATGCCATTTTCCTGATTGATCTGAAAAAGCTCCTCTTTAGATCCAGAAACGATTCGAAACTGCCTGTCCACCAAGCTACTTACTTCAAGACCCAAATCCTTAGCAATATTTCCCACAGTGGTTCCTTCTTTCACTTCTTCTGGAATTGAATATCGTATCTGAGCTGAAACCTGCAGTCCGAAGTCAAGAAGAAAAGAAATACACAGAGCAATCCAGCAGTACTCCCATCTGCGCCTTTGTCCTCCGGCTTCCATCGCGAGCGATTTATTAGCGCTTTCTCTAAAGGCAACTGTATCCTCGATTATTAGAGGCCGTAGTAGATGTTTATGGCAAGCACATCATGAGCAAATTACAAAATATGAAACCAGTCCTTTTTAAGTATCGTCAGTAGAGTATTGTCGATTCATCCCGAGCCTTCGGTGTATGTGTGTGCGAGTGTGTGTGCAAACACAATACAGCCCCATTCACGTCATCATCAGGGGCAGGACTCAAGACACTGGACAAATGCTAGTGCAACACCGACACCAAGTGGTTTATAATACTTAAAAACATTTTTAAAAATAATTACTGTCAGTTGTAAATAATAATGAAATGATGTAAACGTAAATCTGTGAGAAGTATAGCTTAGAATCAACATTAAGTAGATTTAAGTTTACAAACTTTCAGTATTTTTCGACGACTAACAGTGATGTTTTTGAGTTTTCATGACATCCGAAACAAGTAGTTTAAACATGTTTAATGTCACATAAAAAAACGCCTTTAACAAATTCCCAAAGAACTGCATCTAATTTCAGCACCAACGCAGCGGACAGCTCCCTGCGAGCAGTTACTTACAATACGATCAGACACAGATGTCAATATTAAGTACTGAACAAGTTTTTGAGCTATAAAATCACAGTTCTGTAAAAGCAGAGCATTTTGAAGGAATAAGTTATAACGAATAATATTTAAAAAAAAATGTTTAAAAAAAATCAAAGCAATACGGTGACCGTAATTATAATGAACTGAATATTCTTACCTCTCCAGAATCTCTCCTCCTGCGATCTGGTATCACTAGAGTATTCCTATTACTGCCTGGCGCTATTGTAGAGCCGATACTCATTCTGGGTCCAACTAACATGTACCGTTTGTCTCCAGATCTGTACTGGATGCTGTGACACAGAGTCCCGTCGTAATTTGCATCCTGTAAATACTTGGACGAATAGTCTGTAGATTTAGAGCACTGCATCACAATCAACACGATGATGCTGATGACAAAAAGCACTGAAACCGAGCCCAAAGTGATGATCAGATAAAATGTCACGTCGTTTTCCTCCTCGTCTTTTACTGCGTTTTTAACATCAGAAGCTGCAAAAGCCTCTTTGGGCTCCACAACTTTGACAATCACAGTCGCTGTTGCTGAGAGTGAAACGTTCCCATTGTCTTTGACCAGTATGACCAGTTTATGCTGGGCCTCGTCTGTTTCTGTGAATGAGCGAAGGGTTCTTATCTGTCCTGTATAGCGGTCCAAACTAAAGAGACTGTGGTCACTAACTTCCTGCAGTGAAAACAATAACCAGCCGTTGTATCCTATATCTGCGTCATAGGCTCTGACTTTAGTCACCAAATGACCAGCGTTCACATTCCGGGGAATCTCTTCCACACCCTCAGCAGAACCGTTAGCGCTGACTGGATATAAGATCACTGGAACGTTGTCGTTCTGATCCAGAATAAACACGTTCACTGTCACGTTACTGCTCAGAGACGGACTTCCAGAGTCTGTGGCGAGAACATGGAACTGAGATGTTTTTAACGTTTCAAAGTCAAAACTCTTTAGCGAATAAACAACACCTGTTTCGGAATTTATATTCAAGAAAGACGACAAATCATTGTGTGTTCCATCACCTCTAATTAAGTGATACGATATCACGGTATTTTCAGCACTGTCTCTATCAGAGGCGCTGACTGAAATTATAAAGGAACCGGCAGCATTATTTTCCACTAAGTAAAGATCTAGAGGATTTATTAAAAATTCTGGAGCATTATCATTTACATCAGAAATCTGAACGCTTAGTGTAGTCGATGCAGTCAAAGACGGCTGTCCTAAGTCAGAGGCGATAATTGTAATTACATATTGTGAATCAGTTTCTCTATCTAACCGATCTTTTGTTACTAAAGAGTACATATTGTCTTTAAAGGAAGGCTTTAGCTCAAAGGGAATATTTTTGTTTAACTGGCAAATCACTTTACCGTTGATCCCGGAGTCTTTATCAGTCACACTGATGAGAGAAATTACCGTTCCAGGTTTAGAATCTTCAGGGATGTTCTTAGAAAGTGACGTAATCTCAATCTCTGGCCGGTTGTCATTCACATCAATAATTTTAATAACAACTCTACAGTTTGCAGACATGGGAGGATGCCCATTATCTGATGCCTGAATATCGAGTTTATAAACTTCTGTATCTTCAAAATCCACTTCCCCCTTTACACGTATTTCACCTGTGACCTGATCGAGCTCAAACACATCATGCACTTTACTGTTTAACGTTGCAAAACTGTATTCAATATCATTATTCTGGCCCTCATCCATATCAGTAGCATTTACTCGAAGAACCACGGTGCCAATAGCAGAGTTCTCTTCTAGTGTCACTGAATATGTCTCACGACTAAATACAGGTTGATTATCATTTATATCTAGAACAGTAATATTAATAGTAAGAGTCCCAGATTTCGGAGGATTCCCTCCATCAACTGCCGTTAGAAGCAGCTCGTATGTCGTTGTAATCTCTCTATCAACAGCCTTCTTAAGAACTAAAAATGGCATTTTATCCTCATCACTTTCTCTATCTCGAATTTCAAAATGATCATTAGGACTTAACTTATAGGACCGGACCGAATTAGTCCCAGAATCGGGATCTCTGGCAGCTTGTAACTGATAATTAGCACCAGGCAGCGTATTTTCATAAATTTTTAGACGCTGCTCATTTTCAGGGAAACTAGGAGAGTGATCATTTATATCTAATATTTCTACTTCTACATAATGTATCTCGAGAGGATTTTCAATAACGGTTTTTAAATTCACCATACAAACACCGCTGCCAACACACAAAGACTCTCTGTCGATTTTCTTACGAACATACAAAATGCCATTTTCCTGATTGATCTGAAAAAGCTCCTCTTTAGATCCAGAAACGATTCGAAACTGCCTGTCCACCAAGCTACTTACTTCAAGACCCAAATCCTTAGCAATATTTCCCACAGTGGTTCCTTCTTTCACTTCTTCTGGAATTGAATATCTTATCTGAGCTGAAACCTGCTGTCCGGAGTCAAGAAGAAAAGAAATACACAGAGCAATCCAGCAGTACTCCCATCTGCGCCTTTGTCCTCCGGCTTCCATCGCGAGCGATTTATTAGCGCTTTCTCTAAAGGCAACTGTATCCTCGATTATTAGAGGCCGTAGTAGATGTTTATGGCAAGCACATCATGAGCAAATTACAAAATATGAAACCAGTCCTTTTTAAGTATCGTCAGTAGAGTATTGTCGATTCATCCCGAGCCTTCAGTGTATGTGTGTGAGTGTGTGTGTGTGTGTGTGCAAACACAATACAGCCCCATTCACGTCATCATCAGGGGCAGGACTCAAGACACTGGACAAATGCTAGTGCAACACCGACACCAAGTGGTTTATAATACTTAAAAACATTTTTAAAAATAATTACTGTCAGTTGTAAATAATAATGAAGTGACGTAAACGTAAATCTGTGAGAAGTATAGCTTAGAATCAACATTAAGTAGATTTAAGTTTACAAACTTTCAGTATTTTTCGACGACTAACAGTGATGTTTTTGAGTTTTCATGACATCCGAAACAAGTAGTTTAAACATTTTTAATGTCACATAAAAAAACGCCTTTAACAAATTCCCAAAGAACTGCATCTAATTTCAGCACCAACGCAGCGGACAGCTCCCTGCGAGCAGTTACTTACAATACGATCAGACACAGATGTCAAAAAGTACTGAACAAGTTTTTGAGCTATGAAATCACAGCTCTGTAAAAGCAGAGCATTTTGAAGGAATAAGTTATAACGAACAATATATTTTTTTTTAAATAAACAAAGCAATACGGTGACCGTAATTATAATGAACTGAATATTCTTACCTCTCCAGAATCTCTCCTCCTGCGATCTGGTATCACTAGAGTATTCCTATTACTGCCTGGCGCTATTGTAGAGCCGATACTCATTCTGGGTCCAACTAACATGTACCGTTTGTCTCCAGATCTGTACTGGATGCTGTGACACAGAGTCCCGTCGTAATTTGTCTCCTGTAAATACTTGGACGAATAGTCTGTAGATTTAGAGCACTGCATTACAATCAACACGATGATGCTGATGACAAAAAGCACTGAAACCGAGCCCAAAGTGATGATCAGATAAAATGTCACGTCGTTTTCCTCCTCGTCTTTTACTGCGTTTTTAACATCAGAAGCTGCAAAAGCCTCTTTGGGCTCCACAACTTTGACAATCACAGTTGCTGTTGCTGAGAGTGAAACGTTCCCATTGTCTTTGACCAGTATGAGCAGTTTATGCTGGGCCTCGTCTGTTTCTGTGAATGAGCGAAGGGTTCTTATCTGTCCTGTATAGCGGTCCAAACTAAAGAGACTGTGGTCACTAACTTCCTGCAGTGAAAACAATAACCAGCCGTTGTATCCTATATCTGCGTCATAGGCTCTGACTTTAGTGACCAAATGACCAGCGTTCACATTCCGGGGAATCTCTTCCACACCCTCAGCAGAACCGTTAGCGCTGACTGGATATAAGATCACTGGAACGTTGTCGTTCTGATCCAGAATAAACACGTTCACTGTCACGTTACTGCTCAGAGACGGACTTCCAGAGTCTGTGGCGAGAACATGGAACTGAGATGTTTTTAACGTTTCAAAGTCAAAGCTCTTTAGCGAATAAACAACACCTGTTTCGGAATTTATATTCAAGAAAGACGACAAATCATTCTGTGTTCCATCACCTCTAATTATGTGATACGATATCACGGCATTTTCAGCACTGTCTCTATCAGAGGCGCTCACTGAAATTATAGAGGAACCGGCAGCATTATTTTCCACTAAGTAAAGATCTAGAGGATTTATTAAAAATTCTGGAGCATTATCATTTACATCAGAAATCTGAACGCTTAGTGTAGTCGATGCAGTCAAAGACGGCTGTCCTAAGTCAGAGGCGGTAATTGTAATTTCATACTGTGAATCAGTTTCTCTATCTAACCGATCTTTTGTTACTAAAGAGTACATATTGTCTTTGAAGGAAGGCTTTAGCTCAAATGGAATATTTTTGTTTAACTGACAAATCACTTTACCGTTGATCCCGGAGTCTTTATCAGTCACACTGATGAGAGAAATTACCGTTCCAGGTTTAGAATCTTCAGGGATATTCTTAGAATGTGACGTAATCTCAATCTCTGGCAGGTTGTCATTCACATCAATAATCTTAATGACAATTCTAGACTTTGCAGACATGGGAGGATGCCCCTTATCTGATGCCTGAATATCGAGTTTATAAATTTCAGTATCTTCAAAATCCACTTCCCCCTTTACACGTATTTCACCTGTGACCTGATCAAGCTCAAACACATCATGCACTTTGCTGTTTAACGTCGCAAAACTGTATTCGACATTACTATTTGGGCCCTCATCTATATCAGTAGCATTTACTCGAAGAACCACAGTGCCTATAGCAGAGTTCTCTTCTAGTGTCACAGAATATGTCTCACGACTAAATACAGGTCGATTATCATTTATGTCTAGAACAGTAATATTAATAGTAAGAGTCCCAGATTTCGGAGGATTCCCTCCATCAACTGCCGTTAGAAGCAGCTTGTATGTCGTTGTAATCTCTCTATCAACAGCCTTCTTTAGAACTAAAAATGGCATTTTATCCTCATCACTTTCTCTAACTCGAATTTCAAAATGATCATTAGGACTTAATTTATAGGACCGGACCGAATTAGTCCCAGAATCGGGATCTCTAGCAGCCTGTAACTGATAATCAGCACCAGGCAGCGTATTTTCATAAATTCTTAGACGCTGCTCTTTATTAGGAAATATAGGAGAGTGGTCGTTTATATCTAATATTTCTACTTCTACATAATGCATCTCGAGAGGATTTTCAATAACGGTTTTTAAATTCACCATACAAACACCGCTGCCAACACACAAAGACTCTCTGTCGATTTTCTTAATAACGTACAAAATCCCATTTTCCTGATTGATCTGAAAAAGCTCCTCTTTAGATCCAGAAACGATTCGAAACTGCCTGTCCACCAAGCTACTTACTTCAAGACCCAAATCCTTAGCAATATTTCCCACAGTGGTTCCTTCTTTCACTTCTTCTGGAATTGAATATCTTATCTGAGCTGAAACCTGCTGTCCGGAGTCAAGAAGAAAAGAAATACACATAGCAATCCAGCAGTACTCCCATCTGCGCCTTTGTCCTCCGGCTTCCATCGCGAGCGATTTATTAGCGCTTTCTCTAAAGGCAACTGTATCCTCGATTATTAGAGGCCGTAGTAGATGTTTATGGCAAGCACATCATGAGCAAATTACAAAATATGAAACCAGTCCTTTTTAAGTATCGTCAGTAGAGTATTGTCGATTCATCCCGAGCCTTCAGTGTATGTGTGTGAGTGTGTGTGTGTGTGTGTGCAAACACGATACAGCCCCATTCACGTCATCATCAGGGGCAGGACTCAAGACACTGGACAAATGCTAGTGCAACACCGACACCAAGTGGTTTATAATACTTAAAACATTTTTAAAAAAATTACTGTCAGTTGTAAATAATAATAAAGTGTAATGAAATTATGTAAACGTAAATCTGTGAGAAGTATAGCTTAGAATCAACATTAAGTAGATTTAAGTTTACAAACTTTCAGTATTTTTCGACGACTAACAGTGATGTTTTTGAGTTTTCATGACATCCGAAACAAGTAGTTTAAACATGTTTAATGTCACATAAAAACAACGCCTTTAACAAATTCCCAAAGAACTGCATCTAATTTCAGCACCAATGCAGCGGACAGCTCCCTGCGAGCAGTTACTTACAATACGATCAGACACAGATGTCAATATTAAGTACTGAACAAGTTTTTGAGCTATAAAATCACAGTTCTGTAAAAGCAGAGCATTTTGAAGGAATAAGTTATAACGAATAATGTTTAAAAAAAAATGTTTAAAAAAAATCAAAGCAATACGGTGACCGTAATTATAATGAACTGAATATTCTTACCTCTCCAGAATCTCTCCTCCTGCGATCTGGTATCACTAGAGTATTCCTATTACTGCCTGGCGCTATTGTAGAGCCGATACTCATTCTGGGTCCAACTAACATGTACCGTTTGTCTCCAGATCTGTACTGGATGCTGTGACACAGAGTCCCGTCGTAATTTGCATCCTGTAAATACTTGGACGAATAGTCTGTAGGTTTAGAGCACTGCATCACAATCAACACGATGATGCTGATGACAAAAAGCACTGAAACCGAGCCCAAAGTGATGATCAGATAAAATGTCACGTCGTTTTCCTCCTCGTCTCTTACTGCGTTTTTAACATCAGAAGCTGCAAAAGCCTCTTTGGGCTCCACAACTTTGACAATCACAGTCGCTGTTGCTGAGAGTGAAACGTTCCCATTGTCTTTGACCAGTATGAGCAGTTTATGCTGGGTCTCGTCTGTTTCTGTGAATGAGCGAAGGGTTCTTATCTGTCCTGTATAGCGGTCCAAACTAAAGAGACTGTGGTCACTAACTTCCTGCAGTGAAAACAATAACCAGCCGTTGTATCCTATATCTGCGTCATAGGCTCTGACTTTAGACACCAAATGACCAGCGTTCACATTCCGGGGAATCTCTTCCACACCCTCAGCAGAACCGTTAGCGCTGACTGGATATAAGATCACTGGAACGTTGTCGTTCTGATCCAGAATAAACACGTTCACTGTCACGTTACTGCTCAGAGACGGACTTCCAGAGTCTGTAGCGAGCACATGGAACTGGAACTTTTTTACCGTTTCAAAGTCAAAACATCTGAGAGCGCTAATTACGCCCGTTTCAGAATTGATATTGAGGAATGAAGTCATATCGCTTTGTGTCTGATCGCCTCTTATAATGTTATAAGTGATATGGGAATTTTCATTTTTGTCTTTGTCACTGGCGCTGACAGAGAATATTGACTCTCCAGGTGCATTATTTTCAAACAGGTAAATCTCAAGAGGGCTGTGGGGAAATTGCGGTGTATTATCGTTAACATCAGACACCTCTACGCTTAGAGGTGTTGACGCTGAAAGAGCTGGGTTGCCTAAATCAGTAGCTGTTACTGTAATGTCATAATGGGACGCAACCTCCCGGTCCAAACTCTCTTTTGTTACTAGAGAATACATGTTCTGCTGAACATATGGTTTCAACTCAAATGGCACATTCTTTGACAAGCTACAAACAACTTTACCGTTAATCCCCGAATCTTTGTCCGTTATGCTTATAAGAGAAATGACTGTCCCGGGTTTTGCATCTTCAGAAACAATATTAGAAAGCGACGTGACTTCAATCTCAGGTTCATTATCATTGACATCTATAATCTTTATGATAACTCTGCAGTCAGTATGTAGTGGAGGGCGTCCCTTATCAGATGCTTTTATATTTACACTATAAATTTCGTTCTCTTCAAAATCTATTTTGCCTTTGACACGTATTTCACCTGTCACCTTGTCCAAATCAAAAACATCATGTACTTTTCGCTGCACATTTCTGCCATAAGTATATTCAACTTCTCCATTAACGCCCTCATCTGGGTCAGTTGCATTAACAAATGTTACCGTAAAACCGGGAGAGACGTTCTCATTTAACGTAATAGTGTACGTGTCTCGGTTGCATATTGGGCGGTTGTCGTTAGCATCAAGGACCGTGACAGTTATATTTAAAGTGCCTGATTTTGGTGGATTTCCACCATCAATTGCAGTCAAAGTTAAGACGTGCTTCTCTTGATTCTCCCTATCTAAGGGTTTCTGTAAAAGCAGAAAAGGATTTTTATCCCCATATTCACTGTCTCTTATCTCTATGTCAAAATGATCGTTTTGTCCGAGCCGATAGGAACGAATGGAATTAACGCCAACATCCAAATCTCTCGCGGTGGGAAGATCGAAGCGAGTGCCTTTTACTGTGTTTTCTGCAATTTCTACGTGTACGTCTTTTTCTGGGAAAGAAGGGAAGTGATCGTTTACATCTGTTATTTCGACCTCAACATAGTGAACTTCGAGTGGATTTTCAACTGCAATCTTTAAGCTTAGCAAACATGCGCCATTGCCATCACAAATCTCCTCTCGGTCGATTTTCTTATGAACGTACAAGATGCCATTGTTCTGATTTACCTGGAAAAATATATCCTTGGATCCAGCTACAATACGGAATCGTCTGTGCTCTAACGAACTGACATCAAGACCGAGATCCTTAGCAATATTTCCCACGTGTGATCCCTCATTCACCTCCTCTGGAATAGAATATCTGAGCTGTGCTGAAACAGGCTGCTTAAAATGCAGCATCAAACACAAAGCAATCCACCAGTACCCACATCTGCGCCTTTGTCCATCCTTATCCATCGCGAGCGATTACAGCGAAAGTATCCCAGGACCAGGCATGTATCGTCCGTGATACTCACAACAGGATAAACAGTGTAGTGTCACACAATTCAGGTAAATAGTTCAAATGACGTCCTGCGTCGTCAATCCACCATAACCACTAATTTTCTTCGCCTCACACTGGCTCCTAATACAACACTGCGCATGTCACCATCTAGGGCAGGGCATAATCTCTCCATCATAGAGTTATACTGACACCGAGCGGTCAACTGATCATTTCAAACACATTTCTTAAAGCTTATGAATGATGCTGAAAGTGTTGCATTCCCTGTCAAGCCTATTACAAAAGTCACTTGATGTGAAAATGCCATAATAAAATTTAATGTTACTATACTCAAAAAAATGGTGTAGGATTTACCTTGAAACAATTTTCACTCAAAAAGTGCTAATGAATTTAACAAATGATTACAAAGAAACGGTAACACAATTAAGCAAACGTGAAATTTTGAATAAAAAAATGAAATAGTACTCCAATAATCTTTGTTTTATTTACGACTTCGAAAAATTATTTATTACAGTGCTAAAAGATAGGAGATTAAACGCATTATGGATAAAATACATTAAAGACATACCCTGTATAAATACATGTATAATTTAAATGTAAATAAAAATGTATATAGCGAGGAAAAAGGTTTGTATTTATATCTAATAATACCAAAACTTGAAAAACAAAAATGATCTAAAATTAACAATATGAAATACACATGAAAAAAATGCAAACGAGAAATTATGATTTTATGTTTACATCTTTTCAGTCATTTTTGATGATTGACTTTTTTTTTTTAGGATTCCATGACATTGAAAAAAGTTGTATGTGTCAGAATTGACGCCTTTGGCAATTAAACTCAGTGCTCGAATTGAGGGGGGGCTGGGGGGATCCGGGACCCCCCATAAGGTATTAGGGACCCCCCATAAGAAGTAAAAAATATACAATTAACTCTCTGGGGTCGGCGGTCTCGCCGGCGATACCAGCTCACTTTTTTCCTTATCAGTGCAAAAGAGACTCAAATTACTCTGTTAATTTTGATCTTACATATAAGTGTTGTACATCATTCGATCCTGTTAAGTTTGTATTTTTTTTGTGGAACCTCATAATAAAAACAAAGTGTTGTGCTTTTCGCCTAATAAAGAAAAATAAACATGATGCGCGTTCTGCGTTCTCTCTGTCAGTGAAGTCCATTCTGAAACGCGTCCGAAAAATCATCTGTAACTCTGCAAATACTCAGTCAAACAGGTATACAGGCACACAGGCATGAAGCCTGAATTATCTTCTTTTAAATGAAGTAATTTATATAAAAAAATGTTTTTCTCATTTTATGTAATCTGTACGAAAAGAGAGAGATGATAGTCGTTCTCGTCTCAGCTCATTAAAGTTAACTTGACCACGCCCACGGAGCGCGCGCTCTATTCAAACACAAATGCTCTGAGGCGATCCACGCCCACATCAGCTGGATAACCACCGAAAGAGACTCATATTTACGACGCTGTGAGGAATAATAGTACTATCTTAATAATAATCCTGGAAAAAATTACCTCAGAAGTAGGCTACAGGTAGTTTCATTTGGAGGAGCAACGGATCCAGCCGAGGAAATAGGTACATTCTTTATTTTCAAGTGCTTTGTTCTAATCGCGATATGGAATAGTGTCTGTAAACAAAAAGACTGTTTGAATCGCGTTTTTGTGTGTGAATGAATGAACAGCTTTTACCTAACTATATTCCAATACTGAGATGAGTAAAAATCGACTGAAATATGTTGAAATAAAATATTTTTGTATAAGCAACGTATTAAACTGCAAATTAACATTTATATGTCCTAATCATAAAAACGATATGTTACATATGAAAGACAAGATGTCGTTTTCACTGTAAAATACTGCCACATCAAATAAGCTTGTTTGCTAAGATGTTATTATAGTGTTTGTTCGATTGTTCAAACTAATTAATCCGCAACTGTGAAATATGTATGATAAAATGTATACTTTAGTATATAATACAAAGAAAGATTACATTTGAAATATAGTTAAAATTTTAATTGTTGTTGTAATTGTAACCTTTTTATTAAAATAACAAAAATATATGTAGGCTTACATATAAATAAATCTTAGGTAAATCTTAAAAGCTCAATATAAGCCTCCTCTTTAAATTATTTCTATTGTGTTTTATTAGTGACACATTTGGGATACATTCCCAAACTTTCTGTAAAAACAGTATGATAATTAACTGCACAATTACTAGAAATTTTTACATTTGATATTATACAATTTGCAAGCACAATTTGAAAAAAATAAAATAATTGGAACTGTGAACCAATTTTGTATTATATAGGCATATATATATATATATATATATATATATATATATATATATATATATATATATATATATATATATATATATATATATATTGTCATTGCATTCTTGTGGCTCAGTGACACACCTGAATGAAAGGGTCATTAGTATGCAGCGCCATTATGCGCTCATTATGCGGGCCCATTGTCTTCTCAGGTGTGAATCACAGCAGGTCACACCCCTGCGCATATTGCCTTTCCAAACAAAAAGTGTCATTTTTAAATTTAAACCAATCTATTGTTTTATGTGAATGATAAGGCAGGATGATTTTCAGATCATTTTGAAGAAAAAACGTCTCAGGTTACTACTGTAACCATAGTTCCCTGAGAAAGGGAACGAGACGATGCGTCACTTGACGCCTTGGGGAACGCCCCCAGCGTGAATGCGTCTGAGCATCAATGTCAACTAGTCCAATGGAAAGAATGAGCGTCACGGGCGGGTGACGTCATGACCAGGAAGGCATAAGAGCACATCCGGTGAAACGCGGCATTAGCTTCAAAAAGTCGAAGCAAGCCGATCACAGGGATGCAGGAAGTATGGCAGGGTGACGCATCGTCTCGTTCCCTTTCTCAGGGAACTATGGTTACAGTAGTAACCTGAGACGTTCCCTTTCGAGGGAACTCGCGATGCGTCACTTGACGCTTTGGGAACGAGAATACCCAAAACGCCAGAATTCCAAGTACCTGAGTGTCAGTCTGTTGGAACTAAGCACTAAGCACCTGAGAACCTGGGGCAGCATCCAGGTCCAAACTGTAAAACCTGACGAATGTGAGCGGTGAAGACCAGCCTGCCGCATCACAAACGTCTTGGAGAGAAACCCCAAATAACAAGGCTTTAGAGGCCGCCATACCCCTCGTTGAGTGAGCTCTGACCACCAAGGGACACGGATGGTCAGAGTACTCGTATGCAAGTGAAATAGCCTCGACTATCCACTTACTAACCGTCTGTTTAGAAGCAGGAAGACCCTTCTTAGGTGATCCAAAGCAAATAAATAACTGGTCGGACTTCCTCATTGAAGATGTCCGACGAACATAAGTATCCAGTGCTCGCACTGGACACAAGAGGTTCAGCCTTTCCTGGTCCGCAGATGTAAAAGGAGGACAGAAACCTGCAGCACAATAGGCCTCGGAATAATGGTAGGCACCTTTGGAACATATCCATGTTTCGGGTAAGATTGCCTTGGCCATCCCCGGTGCACTCAAGGCAGGTGGGGACCGAAAGGGCCTGAAGGTCTGACTCTAATAGGGACGAAATAGCTAGCAGAAAATAGTCTTAAAAGAAAGGAACTTCTCTGAGACCAAATCTAAGGGCTCGAAGGGAGCCCCAGATAGGCCTTCTAGAACTATTGCAAGGTCCCAAGCCAGCACCCTAGTGCAAGTTGCAGGCCTCAGCCTCAAAATGCCACGAAGGAAACGAGTGATCAGGGGGTCTCGACCCAAAAATGTACTACCCACCAGGGCGTGAAAAGCCGCAATGGCCGCCACGTATACCTTAAGCGTGGAAGGACATAGACCTGATACAAAGCGTTCTTGCAGAAACTCGAATACTGTGTTTACTGAACAGTTAACCGGATCCCATTGACGCTGGTAACACCAAGAAGTGAAAAACTCTCGAAATAGTGAATATAGTTTCCTCGTAGCGGGAGCTCTGGAGCTTAGAATGGTCTCAACAACCTCGGTTGAGAGACCACTCTCTATGAGTTGGGCCCCCTCAGAGGCCAAACCCACAGTTTCCAAATCCCCTGCCGGGGGTGCAATATTGCATCCCCTGCCTGAGACGGAAGGTCTCTCCTGATCGGGACCTCCAAGGGAGGTCCGTCGAGGAGAAAAATTAGGTCCGCAAACCAAATTCAGCTCAGCCAGGGTGGTGCTACTAAATAGGCTTATTCCATCCTGGCGGAATCACTCCAGAACTCCTGGGAGCAGAGCAACAGGGGGAAATGCGTACAGACGTAGCCTCAGCCACGTCTGCACCATAGCAACCAGCCCCGAGGGGACTGGTTGAGTGAGGGATAACCAGAGTGGACAGTGCGTCGTATGCTGAGACGAGAACAAATCCACTTCTGCCTGGCCATAAAACTCCCATATTTGCTCCACCGCCTCGGGGTGGAGTCCCCTGGCCTCAGCCCCTGCCTCGACAGGGTGTCTGCTCCAATATTCTGGCCCCCCTGGAATATACACTGCCCTCAGACAGCGTAATTTCCTGAGGGACCAAAATAATAGGCCACCAACGTGTTGTCTGTGGGTCAAGAACCAGAGTTTCCTCCATATAACCAAGGCGCGGGGATACTGCCGCGTGATCTTGATCGTACGGAGTGGGTTTCCCCTCAGGGAGAACCCTCTGGTCCTGAGCCACCACTGTAAAGGTCTCACGTACAGCAGGTCAAAGGGTATCACATTGAACGCTGCTGCCCTGAGGCCTAACAGTCACTGTTTCAGAACAACACATGATGGCCCCTCAGGTCTGGGAGGAGATGTCTCAACGCATTGAAGACGACCATCATCTCTAGGCAATTCATGTGCCAAGCGAGATGATGACTCCTCCCAACCCTGAGCTGAGCGGCCTTCCAATACCGCTCCCCAGCCGGTGAGGGAAGCATCTGTCGAGATAGCAACTCGATGGCAAAGAGCTCCCAACACCGAACCCTGGGTTAAGAACCAGTGTTTCCTCCATATAACCAAGGCACGAAGGCACGGCCGCGTGATCTTGATCATACAAAGTGGGTTTCCCCTCGGGGAGAACCCTCT